GACAACTATGCCCTTATAGGGCAGCAAAACATAAAACAACATATATAACACTCAAAAACATAATAAAATTTGGACTCACATAACTACTGTGGTCCCCACCTCCTATCTAACAACTAACATAAAACATCTACTCAGAAAAACATCATAAAACTAATTAATCTTCAACAAAATTCAATAATCTATAAATGATGGAATTTCATTAAGTCATTTAGCTCACTCTGCCTCTGGTAATGACAACTGTGATTATGCACTCATGCTTCAATCTTTCATGCAAAATGATGGAAACTGTGAAAAATAAGCAAGGAGACATATATTCATGCATCATGGACTGACCTTTGGTCTTGTAGGACTTAAAGACATGAAGCGAAAAGATTTTGATAGGAAGAATACAAGAATCTGAAGCATTGACTATGTACTTCTGTATATTTTGCCATATTCTGTTGGTCAAAGATATTCTATCCATTCTACTTGTACACCTTTATACATATGCTAACACCTTTTTTTGATAAATATACGCTAACAAGTTTATTTCATTATTAATAGAAAGGAAGGTCAAAATTATTAAGATTTCAATTGATGTATATTGGATTTATATATACATATTGATATGATAAGGAGTAAGGACGTTTTTCAAGGTATGCAGAAAACAAAAATGTCATGCATCTTCGTCTCTTGGAATCATTTTGTGGACAAAATAAATTATTCTATTTATTATCTTAGGTGAGTTAATGTAGACTCAGTAAGAGAAGCAACGAGGTCCATGTCATATGTATGAGCTAAAATGCAGACCTTTTGGAGCATGCCATCTGTTTGCTCATGTAGTAAGTGATTTGGTGAAGAATCCTGTAGCGGTAGCATACCATTTCCCTGTACTAGTTTTGGGCTCAAAGGATCATTCCAATTTCTTGATGCCTCATAGTAAAAGTGGCCGAGTGCTGACCGTAGACGATTATTTCTTTGTGAATGGTAAGTTTTGGTTGCAAGTGGAACTGGAGCATCTGGTATTATTTCCACCACATCAACAGAGATCAAATGCATTGGAACCAATAAACTAGAGAGAAATACAATGAGATTGGAATAAAAGTTACTAAGTATTCATCTGATTAGTTTAAACCGAAAGGGTACATCTAATGCATTCAGATATCATCACAACATAGAGTCCAGCGTATCTCTTGCATCCAAAGTAAAAAATCTCTCTTTAATGGATTCATCATCATCATCCAAGCCTTGTCCTGACTATATTGGATTGACTTGACTAAATGAATCCTGTTTTGACATTCCATTCTGTTCAGTTTCATCCATTAACATCATATCTTACCACTTCGACCCATATGCTTTTTGGTCTGACTCAGATATCAGCTAATTCATAGGCTGATAGTTTGGCCAGGAGAAGAGTCAACTGTATGGGGACTGACCTTGTCAAGCTAGGCTTTTACAATTATCTATTGTTTCTCTTATATCATCTGTACCATCTGGTTGGCCTTATTATGACCAACAATTTTTTTTTTGTCCTGTCATTCCATTCATTAGGTGGCCTTCATCATAGTACCTACTTTTTCCTCTTGCTCCAATTAATATTTCACTAGTATTCAATACCCTAAATGTTTATTAAGAGGATTGTATTAACCATGTCTAAGGGAAAAGTTATAGCCTCAAAGGCATTTAAAATTAGCCTTACAGGTTAGTGCTTTATGGTAGTTTATCCCCATATTTCCAGTTACACCACATGCTTTTCCTATATCATCTGAAAGTAGAAGGCCCTCAGCTGCCATCCTACAAGCGAAAAGCAGAAAAGAAAAGATGAATTACCCATAAAAAATGAATTAAATTTGGAACAAACAGCATCCATAATATTCTAAGCTCCAAAACTAGAATATCTATGTACAAACACTTCCATGAGATAAAATGACTAGCCACAAAACTTGAAAAAGAAGTAACTAAAAGGTTGCATGTCTGAGACACTGAAGTACAGAAGCCATGAACCAAGATACCAGCTCTACTATGACAAAGGTGAAGCGACATACAACTTAGTATGTTTTTTTGAAGGAGACATTACACCTGCTGAGCAGTTTGCACTTCTGGGACTAACCCCTGAGCCATCCATTACAGGGCCCCCATCCATAGAAGTTCCTGAAGGTAAGAGGAAATGGATGAACCATGTCAACTCAAAATATCAGAAATATGCATATCATTTCAGTGAAAGATTTCTATCTAGATGAAAAACCATATAACCTAAACACAGCTGGGGTTAAGGCTGAGTTGATTTGAGTACAATTTAAATTGATGTTTTGTTACTTGTTAACATCATTAGGGCAGAAGAAATAGAATGATTTTGAAACAAAAAACAGGCTTAATACTTGATACAGTTACTTGTTTGGTTATCAGCAAAAAATAGTGATTGGATAAGGGAGAAGAGAGAAGACAAGAAGAAATCGAGAAAAAAGAGATCAATTGGGAAAAATTAAAAAAAATAAAAGTATGAGGAATGCAGCCTCTTTCTTCTATTTATATTATCTCAACAATACAAAAAAAAAAAGAAAAAAAAAAACAGAATACACCTGGCTGTGTATCCTCATACAAATATTGATATAATATCAACACTCCTCAGGCTGATTATAGGTATTGATCATGCCTAGGGGTGCAACTTGGGCAGGCTCAGGTTGAGGATTCGTTAAAATTTGAATGGACCCATCCCAAGTGCCCAGGCCTGATGCTGTGTAAATTCTTCAAAGCAGGTACTCAGCTTGCCCAAAGTATGATCCAACATGGATTTTAAAACACCATTGATTAATATATCAGTTGAAAATTACACATACAGAAATTCAGATAATGCAAGAACAGAAGAAAAGAGAGAAAGAGAAAGAAGAAGAAAGAAGTTTCAGCAACAGGTTGTGGAAGAAAAAAAGAAGGGAAGAGAGAAAAGAAGAATTCAAACCTCTCTCTCTAGCTTCCTTTCATCACTTTTATTAATAATTCTAAGTCTGAGTACAATTACTTGGATGCCCTTAATGGGGCGGCCAGCACTAATGAAATAATTAAAGAAAATAAAAGAAGGCCCATAACTAAGAAAGATAACTTTTAAATAGTACTTAAAAGAAACAAAGAACACCAAGGCTCATTTGGCCCATTCTCACTACACTCCCCCTCAAGCTGAGCATAGATGTCAATCATGCCCAGCTTGCTTACATAATGTTGAAGCTTTGCCTTTGGGACCTTAGTTAGAAAATCTGCTAGCTGCTCTTCTGGTGCAATGAAAGGTAGACACACCTCTCCTGAAGCCACTCTCTCCTGTATAAAGCGTCTATCTACCTCAATGTGCTTATTTATCTCATTAATAAACCCAATCACATTAAAGCTTCCACCTTAACACCAGGGGCCAATGGGCCATCCTAGTGTTCTTCCCACTCATTGAACTTACCTTTTTTTCTTCTCGATCAGGATGACTAAGGGCCCTATACCAACCTAATGCATGTAGTAATGGATTAACACAAGAATGTCATAACTCTAATGGATTAACACAACCACTATACCAACCTAATGCATGTAGTAATAGCACTCCTCTTTTCATTTAATACAAAAGCTAGTTTTTAAGTATGGATTATTTTATGCAATTATTCTATTGTATTCGTTTATTCTCTTGGATGAGTCTAGAACAAGACATGAAACCATGGGCAATATACTATGAAAATTTCTATTAAGAAGAACAGCGACAACAAATGTCTGTTGTTAACCAGAAAACTGCAAATAATAAGACTCCATCATTAAAATATTATTTTCATCAACTCAATCATTAAAATATGAGAGTTCCATTGACACAAGTGTCAAATTATTACCTTTAGTATACCAAAATGTTAGGAAATGTGTCAATAAATATCACAAGCACATTTTGCTAGCAGAATGTGTCAAATTCCAAACACCATCCTCATCTAAGCAAATATCAAGATCCATATAACATCAGCTATCAAGATCCACAATTCCACATAATAAATAACCTTACAACAACCAAAATCTTAATAAGCACCCTGTGAATGAAAAGGTTCACATATTGAAGTAATATGAACTGAGTAGGATCATGTGGGAAAAGAGATAGAGAAGCAGAAATAATTACTTTTTGCCTCCTTGGAGGAGTAGGTTATTCCAGTTTGGTCATCCATATTGGATTCAGATGCAGCATTTTCATCGGCATCTACAGACTCAGACCTTTCTTGCTCCCCTACTGTTGTAGCTTGGTCTAGGAGATGACAAGGCACCTTTAGTAATTTTGCAAATAATCCCATGAAAGTTTCATAATGAATGGGCAACCTGACTCAATCACCCATTAAGAAGGTAAAAAAATCTCAACAACATGAAGATAACTACTTGAAGAGAGATATCAAAAACAACGAATATATTACTATTCAAACATTTCTTTATTTAACCTAGCAAAACAAGGAAATAAGCTTAACTAAGAAAGGAGGATTATGGCAATGTTTTCAGGGACAATTGGGAGGGGAAACTCTTTGAAGGCTGAACTGTTGGCTCTATTGCAAGGTCTCAGACTAGCTAAAAAGTATAACCCACTAAAATTACTTTACAAAAAAAGAAGAAATTAATAAGAGCATACAGAAGATGAGAAATAGAGCATACTATCCTGAGATGTTTGTAACTTTTTCCTCCCCTTCCGTGGAGGTTTTTTATGCCCAGTATCACCATCAAGCTCCAAACCATTTTCTTCTGTAGAACTGAATGATCTACAGAGTTCTGAAAAATAAAAATAGAAAATAGAACACTTTCAGTAAAGCACCATATCAGATACAAAAGTTTAAGTTTATTTGGCACCACAATGAAAATCTAATTGAAGGACAAAAACATGAGAGGAAAGCCTCAAGACTGAAACAATTTCATCAACAGAAACACTAGATTTCTCTAATCTGTCCACATTGTAGGTCGCATTCGTCTATGATTTAAATATGAAATGCATCTAAACTTATATCTATGTTGCAGTGTACTATACTATTAAAGAAATGTGTATGTCTTCTTATATATTCTGCATGTATTCATGTATGTAACTATGTAGATATGTAAATTATGTATGCATTGATAAAATTCATTATATTTGAGTTATGAATCCAAATATGTCCATATCATTACTAAACAAGTTTATTACTACTAAAAGGGCAGCCCAGTGCGTGAGGCTCCCACCAATGTGGGGTCTGGGGAGGGACCGATGTAGACAGCCTTACCCCTGCACATACAGAGAGGCTGTTTCCAAGATTTGAACCCTGGTCACCCAGGTTGCAACGGAGGCTGTTACCAAGTTTATTTAGTACTAAGTAGTAATAATTGTTATCCAGATATGCATGCACTCCATCCAGCCACCACAAGCATACATGCATTATCATATTTTGGTTAGGCTAAATGTGTTCTCAAATGTAATGTCTAATTCAAATTTGACATTATTGTCAATATGTCTATAGAAGCAATACTGGCATAAGCTATTAGCATACCAAGGAGAAGAATGGATTAGATCCCAATTGAAAGCATAAAAATAATAAAGATAATAGTAGAAATCACTATTTGCTGATTCAGTCAAGTTTCTTGTGAAAGGAAAGAGGGGGAAGATGAAGATTTCAGCAGTAGAGAAGGAAGGAGAAGAAGAAAAGAGTAGGAGGTCAACCAGGATTGTGAAAATTAACCCTAGCCGCCTACCTCTCATTATATTTATATTTAACTTAAAGATGAGATATTACAAGGATGCCCTTAGTAGGGTGGCTACTAAAAGCTGAATAGTCACAACTTAAAAAAACATAAACTAATGGGCCTAAGGCCCAACAACTTCCTAACTAAATAAAAACAAATCGGACCACTCAACAATAATGATGATATGCTAAAGTTCAAATTCAACCCATCTATAATATATCAATACTATATCAACAAAAAACAACATACACCATTGAAGCTCCTGCAAATGTCTAGTTAGTACATCCATAACTAATGTAAAAATATAAGACCAAGTGTTGATAGTAGTTGATAGTTGGTGTAAACCCATAGCGATTGGAAAATCTATCATCTCCCCTTCCTTAGTTCTCACACCAATTACTGTGCCTTCATGTATATCCCTAATAATATCAACATACCCACTTAAAGCCTCATTCTTTCCCAAAAGCCACCAAATGACTTCTCTAGGAACCCTATCATGATTTTTTTTCTAAACCAATAAACATGGAGTGGAGAGATTTTTCCTCTGTTCCCTAAACTTCTTTATTAATCTCATCAGTAAAAAGATTGCTTTCATAGTTGCCCCCAAGCATGGATCCAAATTTGTTTTCTGATGTTATGTATTTATATATCACCATTGTTCCTATAAATGGGAAGAAATAGTGACAATAAAAATAACAAATGTAAGTACATAAACAGCACATCCCTAAATACATAAGTTACAAATGTAGTGACTAAATTAAAATACACTAACAAAATACTAAGGAGTTGTTTGATAACAACTGAGGTGGCTGAACTGAGATTTATCGATTTATCTTCTAGTGGATAAGTTACTAATAAGATTGTGAGCTCCTTAATGGCTGAAACTCAAGTGGGATTGATTACTATACCTTAGAATATTCCATTATTTAATTATTTTATCCACTAAAAGACAAAGCAATAAGTCGTTCACTTAGTCACTTCAGCCATTACCAAACAGCCTAAGGATTTCATTTCCAACATCCATGTCCAAGTCAACCAGCAACAGTCATGCCCATATCCACAGGAAGTATGCTCCAGATCTTCTAGGTAAATACAAAAGATAAACTGGAGGAATATTAACACCTACAAAGTGTTCAGTAACTGATTTTGTCAGAGCAATTAAGAAAACAATTCATAAAAAAACAATATGCAAACAATGACATCGCTACACAACCCTCCAATGTGCCTATTGGCAGACCTTGACAAATAAAAGAAAAAAAAACGAAGAATTCTGATAAAGATACTAAAACCCCAACCTGCATGAGCTGCATATTGACTGGCCTTGACTGGTTTCTTACAAGCATTGCAACAAACCTTCATAGTTAATATCAAAACTAAGAATTATAAGTGCACATGATGTAAAAAGGAATATAGTGATGAAATTACCCAACTTCAAAACAGAATGCAATGAAAAGCTCAATAAATCAAAATAAAGCACTTTCAAAGGATATCTTTTATGTCTTGATTGGTAATAAAGCTTTTATTAGACATAAGCCACAATGAATTCCCAAGGTGATCATTGGGGAGAGAGAGACAGAGCAAGGGAGGGAGAGAGAGAAAGGAAGGGGGAGAGAGAGAGAGAGATCATTTGTACTAGGAATTGATTTCCTAAGATGAGATATTGTAAAAAAGAAACAAAGGGATGCTAATCTAGGGTTAACCGATTATTGTGGGGTGTTGTGGCACATTGTTGTCAGTATATCATTGTTTTTACACATAATTAATGAAATTTCTGATTGTTACTGATCAAAAAAAGGCAAGAATTTTTGTCGGGTTTGAGCAGGTATGTCAGAGATCATTTGTTGGGTTTCAATGGTGGCACTGGATTGTCATTTGTGGTTGGCAAGGTTGAAATTCCTCTGGTGATGGGGAGAGGTGAACGACAGGGTCTTCAGATGGATGCAAAGGAGCAAGGTTGTGGTAATGATTTTGTTGGGGCTTCTTGTCGTGGAAGCCAAATGTGTCAATTTGTCAACAGTCTTGATGTCGGACGAGGTAAGCTCAAGACCCATGACTAATGGTGGGCTTCCTGAAGTTTTTGTGAATAACATCTCTTTCTCAGCGATGGGGGAGGTAACACTTCGTTTGACCTAAGTGGGGTGATGGCAGTTGTGTTGGGCTCAGCTGTGGTTCCAGCTCCTCCAGAATCTAGGAGCCTGGTGGCAGAGAGTTTGGTGAGTTTAAGTGCTAAGGGTGGAATTGGTGATTCCCAAAAGGTAGGAGTTGGGATGGAGAAGGGGCAAGGAAACGTTCATCCAGTTTGTCAGTTGAGATGGGGGTTTTTCAGATTTTCTCATATGAAGTGTCAGAAGGGTGAAACCAGTTAGTGGTGAGAACATGGTGGCAAGGTTCAAAATATCGATACAGGCCGATACGCCAGGGCGTATCAGCGCGTATCGGCCTGTATCGAGGTTCGCTTTTCCATTTATTTAGTTTTTTTTTTTCAATCTGGTTCAGAGGGGTCAGTTTAAGGTCCCCATCAACCCCCTGAACCATGGTCTGACCCAAAACACCCACTGTAGGGGGGTATCGAGAAGCCCCCAATACGATACGTATCGGCTGATATGGCCTGATACATATCGAAATTTTGAACCTTGCATGGTGGAGTCTTCAGACTGAGGTTGAGGTTTTAGATTCAGAATTGGGGGAATCACGAGAGTTTTATGAAACATTTGTTGGAAGGTTGGGCTATGAATTGGAAAGAAGAAGGATGAAGGGTGGCAAGGTTGAGGGTCTTTTTTTTTTCAATCAATAACTGCATAGACTTATTAATGATTAATTAAGGAGTGTACATGGTATAGAAATACCAGTGTCTTAAAAGCACAAGGCACAAAAATGCGCAAGGGTCAATTTGTTCCTAAGGCACAAGGCAAGGCGCACGCCTTTTTAAGCAAGGCGCAAAAAATAAAAATAAAAATGTAAAAAATCAAAAAATGCCAAAAAAATCCAAAAAACAAAAAATTATTAAACATAATATTAATAAAAATATAAACTTAAATTTTAAAATAAATGTTTTAAAAACCTATTAACTAATATTAAAATACATAAATATAACATGTAAAGCATATTCAAATGGGAATTTAAAAAAAAAATCAAATATATAAAACATTTTCAAGCATATAAAACCCACAATCTCTTTTTTCTCAATTATATTACTTCAAGTAGCTAATGCGATGTAAAACATATTATATTCCTGATTCTACGAGCCACCTTTGTGCCATGCCCCTCGAGTCAAGCCCAAACAAGTCCACGGTAGGTCTTAAATTCTTTGTTCTCACACAAAAATAATGATTTTATAGTTTTCATTGCTTTTTTAAAAGATATTTTATTAGGATGAATGAATGAACAACATTACCAAATAGGGGGTTCTCAGCTTCGGTGAGTGAGCAAAGCGAGCGAACCCTGAGGGACGTGGCACGAGGGTCTAGGGGCGGAGCCCCCAACCCAGCCGCTAGACACAAAAAAGCATCAAAGTTTCAAAAGCCGCACGCCTGGGCTGAGGTGCAAGGCGCACACCTTTTGAAAGGGTTGCGCCTAGGACCTGGACGAGGCGCCTACCTTGAAATGCGCCTCGCCTATGCGCCTAGGCACGCCTTTTAAATCACTAAGAAATACAAGAGTACAAAGTAAGACAGTAAGAGATAAAATCTCTGCATCAACTAAGGAGTACGGGTGGCAACGAGCCGAGCTTTTCATGAGCTGCTCGAGCTCGGCTCGATTTCAGCCGAGCTCGAGCCCAATTCAGTGGCTCGATTATTAAACGAGCCAAGCTCGAGCCTACTAGAGCTTGACTCATGAGGCTCGTGAGCCGGCTCGAAAATATATATATATATATATATATATATATATAATAAAAATATTATAATTACTAATTATTATGATTCTTAATTTTTTAAATATAAAATAAAAAAATCATATATAATTTTTATTTTTATAAAATATAAAACGAGCCGAGCTCGAGCTCAAGGTTCTGGCTCGAACCGAGCACGAGCCTTATAGAATAGTCTCGAGCTAAGCTCAAGCCCGGTACTATTCGGCTCAGCTCAGCTCGAATCCACCCCTACTAAGGAGTTAGTACAATGCTAATCCAATTAAAAGATACTTCCCATATCTCTTGTCAGAAATCTAATTCTCTTCTTTTCATTGCTGTAAGTTTGAGGATTCAAAAGGGGGTAAAGAAAATTTTAAAGCTTCGATTTGTCCAAAAAAAATGAAGGACCCAAAAAATGGTCAATTAGTTCATGTTACAAAGATCTTTTCTCATCTAAAAGGAGTTCGTGAAAGACAAATTAAGTGATGTCAAGCATGGTCAAGGAGGTGGGTCGAAAGAGTTTAAGCTTGTCGATGAGGGTCAAGTAGTTTCTACTTCTCATTTTTTTTGAAGATAAATAAAAAAGAAATTTTATTGCTAAAAGGAAAAAACAATACAACATAACTAGGTGACAAGATGTTACCCCCTCTGGAGTACATCAATAAAGCCACAAAACAAAAAACAAACTCGTAGAAATAGTACACAACTCAGTACAACTCTCAAGATTTCAGATTAGACCAAAATTCAGCTCCAAAGTCCCTTTTCCGCAGTCCTTGAAACTCTGGAAGCAGTAGCACCCAGCTAGTAACTGTTGAACTAATAATAGTTACCAAATGTTCCATTCTTTTTTCTTTCCCTTCAAAGCACCTTCTGTTTCTTTCCTTCCATATTTCCCAGTATACAGCAAAAGGAATACATGTCCATAGGATCGTAACTTCGATTCCACCTTGAATTCTTGGCCAGCTGCTGAAAATCTCAGTCGGATTAGCCAAAGTACTCCTGACCATCTTGAATAACTTGAAAAAATAGGACCAGATTGGGTATGAAAAGTTACAATGGAGCAAAATATGAGACGCATCTTCCTTAGCAGCACAACATAACACACATCTACTTGGAAACTGAAGCCCTCTGAGTTTCAAGATGTCCTGTGTAAGAATGCATCCTCTTACAATCAACCAAGCAAAAGCTTCAATGCTTGGAGGTACAGGTTTCCCCAAAAAACCTTTAACTGGATCAGCCACCATCTGATTTCTGACCAGTGTCGAGTACAAGGACTTGACAAAGAACTTCTCATCCTTACACTCTTTCCATAATCTAACATCTGTAACTGAAGGATTGATCTCTAAGGTCTGAAGTTTTGAAAGCAACTCCACACACTCCTCTAGCTCCTAATCAAATAGAGGTCCTCTAAAATTTGGTTTCCAAACCACAGAACCATTAACTACTTCATAGCAATCTGAAATTGGCACTTCTTTCTTGCCAGATTATATAACCTTTGACATAAATCAGCAAATTTCCCCACCCCCAACCAATCATCTTCCCAAAAACAGTCTTTTGAGAATAAAGGACTGTTTAGAACAAATGCAAAAATCAAAATAAAACAACAAAAATCATTCTTCTAAGGAAGAGAAGATGAAGAAGAAGATGGTGGCAATAAGGGTTCAGAGTAAGAGAGTTTCGAACCTTAATCTCTACTCTTACACCCCTAACACAATTTTATTAAGTTAAACTTTGATAATTTACA